GCGCCCAGGGGCAGAGCGAGCATGGAGGGTTTCTCCGAAGGGCTTTGGCGACCCGTTCTCCTTCTCCTCCTCCTCCTCCTCCTCCTCCTCCTCCTCCTCCTCCTCCATCTCTCCCTCCCCCTCCCCCTCCTCCACCTCCTCCTCCTCCTCCTCGTCCTCGGGTCGCCTACGGCCCCGGGGGAAACCGTGCAAGCGAGCAAGCGTGAGGAAGAAGATGAAGAAGAAGAACCATACCAACAACAGCTCCAACCCAGGACTCATAGGTGGGGTCCGAGTAGATGGGGTTGGATGATCGCGCCGCATCGCCGATGGATCAGCGACGCAGACCGATGATGAGCCCGATGTTCTACGCGCCGATGGCGCCGATGCCTTGCCGACGTCGCCGATGCATCGCCGATGCATCGGCGATGTATCTCCGATGCATCGCCGATGCGGCGCGATCCTCCGATTCCATTTGCTCCGACCGCATCTAGGAAGCCGTGATATCCGAAAAGGAAGTCAGCTGACGTCACCACATCATGTTGTGAAGTCGGGTTTTTCCCTCTAAAGGGGAGATGTTCAAACATAGTTTAGAATAGTCTGGTGACGATTTGTTGAGTATTGTTTGACTATTTTGCTGTATTGCTTAGAGTATTTTTATTTTTCGTCCAAAATCCCCCTGTAGGACACGCCCGACCTAAAATTAGGGAGCAGAGAGAGAGGCAGCCTGCCTGGCCTCCTTGCCGGCAGGCTGTCCTTCTCTCTGCTGGTGGTCGGTCCTCTGTCCGTTCCTCTTAGGGTCGGGTTGCCGCCGATCAGCGCTGCCGCTGGCCAGGCCGCCGTTCCGCGGCCGCCCCGCCGCTTGCCGGGGCCCGGCCTGCAGGGAAGAAAGGTATACCCCCCCAAAGGGGTACGATCGAAAACGAAGAGGGCGGGTATCGAGGGTTAGGGAAATACGCGTTAACGGACACTGAAGCAGTAAGAGCGAACAGTCTTAAACTTATTGTTGTTGAGGTCTCATTCATGAATTATCCTGGCAAAGCAACCTAACAGCGATGAGTACAAGCATATCTGGAAGCATTCTTCTTAAGATTCAGGTGACAATCCAGTTGTAGAATTCTGCTGTTCTCGCAGTCGCAGTCGCGTTCGCAATGACAGTCGCAGTGGCAACGGCCTTAGGATCCAATGGAATCCTTAGGACACCTTAGGAATCCTTAGGAATCCGGATTCCGAGGGATTTCTAAGGATTCCGATGGAATCCTAAGGACTCCTAAGGATTCCTGAGGATGCTTAACTATGCCTACGGATTCCTAAGGATGCCTACGGATTCCTAAGGATTCCGAGGGATTCCTAAGAATTCCTATGTATTCCTACGGATGCCTCAGCCTGCCTCAGTTTCAGCCTCAGCCTCAGCCTGCCTCGGCTTGCCTCAGCCTCAGCCTCAGCCTCAGCCTGCCTTGGCCTCAGCCTCAGCCTGCCTCCGCCTCTCAGCCTCAGCCTGCCTCGGCCTCAGCCTGCGTCAGCGTCAGCCTCAGCCTGCCTCAGCCTCAGCCTGCCTCAGCGTCAGCCTCAGCCTCAGCCTGCCTCGGCTTGCCTCAGCCTCAGCCTCAGCCTGCCTCAGCATCAGCCTCAGCCTCAGCCTCAGCCTGCCTCGGCTTGCCTCGGCCTCAGCCTTAGCCTGCATCGGCCTCAGCCTCAGCCTCAGTCTGCCTCAGCCTCAGCCTGCCTCAGCCTCAGCCTCAGCCTGCCTCGGCCGCAGCTTGCCTCAGCCTCAGGCGCAGCCTCAGCCTCAGCCTCAGCCTGCCTAAGCTTCAGACTCAGCCTCAGCCTGCCTCGGCTTGCCTCAGCCTCAGCCTCAGCCTGCCTCGGCCTCAGCCTCAGCGTCAGCCTTTCAGCCTCGGCCTGCCTCAGCCTCAGCCTCAGCCTCAGCCTGCCTCAGCCTCAGTCTCAGCCTGCCTCAGCCTCAGCCTGCCCCAGCCTCAGCCTCAGCCTGCCTTGGCCTCAGCCTGCGTCATCCTCAGCCTCAGCCTGCCTCAGCCTCAGCCTGCCTCAGCCTCAGCCTCAGCCTGCCTCAGCCTGCCTCAGCCTCAGCCTCAGCCTGCCTCGGCGTTAGCCTGCCTCGGCCTCAGCCTGCCTGAGCTCGAACACGAAGATCACGAAGTGGCCCACAGTTGGGTCCGGGCAATCAAAAAATGGTACAGGAATGGTGTTCTGGGAACACGAAGAACACGAAGTGGCCTACAGTTGGCTCCGGGCATTCAAAATGTGGCCTGGGAATGGTGTTCTGGGAACATGGAGAGCACGAAGTGCCCCACAGCTGGCTCTGGGCATTCAAAATGTGGCCTGGGAATGGTGTTCTGGGAACATGAAGAACACGAAGTGGCCTACAGTTGGCTCCGGGCATTCAAAATGTGGCCTGGGAGTGGCGTTCTGGGAAGACGAAGAACACGAAGTGGCCTACAGTTGGCTCCGGGCATTCAACATGTGGCCTGGGAGTGGTTTTTTGTGAGTGGATTCATAAGAATTCCGCAGAATTCCTAAAGATTCCTGGGGCTGCCGGATCTGTCCTAATCCATTGTCCGGATCCCGACCCCCCCCGGGGCGTCAAGATGATGCCCTCTTTTGACCCCGCTAGATATCTATCGGTTTTCGCTGTTAGGTAAAATTCATTGTTGTTTATCCCCCCGCCTGGTACACATTGTATTTTTCGTTTGAAGTGCCCCTCCCGGGGCTCACGCCCTGGTTTTGTATCAGGGAAAGTCTTGATGCTCAAACTGTGTCGTTGCCCCCCGGTTTACAACAACAGCGGCTCCCGCCTGATTTTTCCTCACAACGTATTGAAGAGTCGCGCTTTCGTTTGGGATTTCCTTGCAATTTACCAGCGGATCGCGGCTCCCGCTTGATACCGCTTGATCGTTTATTGCCGAATCGTGTCCTCGCTTGGGACTTGCTCGCAACTTACCACCGAACCGCTTCACGTGATGCTGGTCCTTGACACTCAGGAATCGCGCTCCCGCTACATATTGCCTGCCGTTTCAAGCAGGACTCACGCTTCAACGACCCGCCCACTCGACCCGCCCGTCGGAGCCCCGCCCGACCAGCCCGTTACTGACTGCAGTCGCCGCTCGCTGCCCTTCGCCCGCCTCGGATGCCCCTCGCTGCCCGTGCTGGTTCCGCAGTGTCCTTCGCTCAGTGCCCTTCGTGGCCCCGTTGCTGCCTTCAGTGGCTCCGTCGCTGCCCTCAGTGGACCCGCATTTTTTTGCCCTTCGTGGCCCCCGCTCGCGCGCGCCCGTCCTGGCCCCATGTGCATGCCCTTCGTAGCCCCGCTGTCGCCCTTCGTGGCCCCCTCGCTGCCCATCGTGGCCCCTTTGCTGCCTTCAATGGCCCCGCTGTCGTTCTTAGTGGCCCCGTATAAGAATGCCCTTCGTGGCCCCCGCTCGTTCGCGCCCGTCGTGGCCCCACATGCATGCCCTTCGTGGCCCCGCTGTGTGGCCCCGTCGCTGCCCATCGTGGCCCCGTTGCTGCCCTCAGCGGCCCCGTCGTTGCCCTCTGTGGCCTCGGATTTTATGCCCTTCTTGGTCCACGCTGGTCTAGTTAGGAATCGCGGTATCGCTCGAGACCTCTTCGCGATTCATGCAGGACCCACGCTTCAGCAACCCGCCTGTTCGACCTCGTCGTCTGGGCCCGCCTTCCCGACCTGCCCGACATGGGTCTGCCCACCCGATCTGCCCGTCTGGTTCTACCACTTGTTGCCAACCATCCTGTGGTGTTGGGTCCTCGTTTTGAAAACACGCTCCCCGCGTTCTCCTTCTCTCCTCCTGTTCTCCCTCCTCCTCCACCGTTCGCATGCGTCCCGCACACCCAGTACAGCGTTTCGTGGCCTTCCTCCCCCTCTCCCCTGCGTTTCTTCACTCACCCAGTACAGCGTTTCGTGGCCCCATAGGGAGCCCCACCGAAGGTCCCAGTGCTACCGTCCGCATGCGTTCCGCACACCCAGTACAGCGTTTCGTGGCCCCATAGGGAGCCCCACCGAAGGTCCCATTGCTACCGTCCGCATGCGTCCCGCACACCCAGTGCAACGTTTCGTGGCCCCATAGGGAGCCCTACCGAAGGTCCCAGTGCTACCGTCCGCATGCGTCCCGCACACCCAGCACGGCGTTTCGTGGCCCCGTAGGGAGCCCCGCCGAAGGTCCCAGCGCTACCGTCCGCATGCGTCCTGCACACCCAGTACAGCGTTTCGTGGCCCTCCTCCCCGTCTTCCCTGCGTTTCACCCACCCATTACAGCGTTTCGTGGCCCTGTAGGGAGCCCCACCGAAGGTCCTGCTACCACCCGCATGCGTCCCGCACACCCAGTGCAGCGCTTCGTGGCCCCAAGAGCCCCACCGAAGGCTCAGTGCTACCGTCCGCATGCGTCCCGTACACCCAGTACAGCGTTTCGTGGCCCTGTAGGGAGCCCGCCGAAGGTCCCAGTGCTACCGTCCGCGTGCGTCCCGCACACCCAGTACAGCGTTTCGTGGCCCCATAGGGAGCCCCACCGAAGGTCCCAGTGCTACCGTCCGCATGCGTCCTGCACGCCCAGTACAGCGTTTCGTGGCCCTCCTCCCCGTCTTCCCTGCGTTTCACCCACCCAATACAGCGTTTCGTGGCCCCATAGGGAGCCCCACCGAAGGCTACCGTATGCATGCGTCCCGCACACCCAGTACAGCGTTTCGTGGCACCGTAGGGATCCCCACCGAAAGTCCCAGCGCTACCGTCCGCATGCGTCCCGCACACCCAGTACAGCGTTTCGTGGCCCTCCTCCCCGTCTTCCTTGCGTTTCACCAACCCAGTACAGCGTTTCGTGGCCACATAGGGAGCTCAACCGAAGGCCCCAGTGCCCCCGTCCGCATGCGTCCCGGAAACCCAATATGGCATTCTCACCCACCCAGTGCAGCGTTTCTTGGCCCCATAGGGGGCTCCACTCAAGGCCCCAATGCCGCCGTCTGTATGCGTCCGGGAAATGTAATGTGGCATTTTCACT